AATGTTTTGTGCGATAGGATGATGAGATCAAATGTTCAAGGATTTTCTGTGAAAGTAGGTTTTCTATACACGTTTATCACCAGTCTGTCACTTCTTTTCATGCCCGTATAAATATATATTATATAATACACACACCATAATATCAAGAAAATTAATCTGAGAATTTTCTTCCAATTCAACTGCAAATTTTACACGTTAGCTATACGTATTAAATCTGACAATGTGTCCATTTACTTTTTTTGTATGATGATTAGAACTTCATCCATATATCTTTGTACAAAATGATATCAATATCAATATGATCTAAATTACTCAATTCCAGGTTTCGTATCACTATTTCTGCTAATGATGTACTAGTTTGCCCTCCCATTGTTAGTGTATTATTAGTAAACTGAGGAATAATAGTACCGAAGTTAATCTACTCGCTGTTGCTTCTTCAAGTTTTGGAACATTTTTTGTTTTTTAAAAAGTTTGTGAATGGCCCCTTGGATTAATGAGTGTAGTATGGAGGGATATATTGCAACAATGTCTACAGAAGCCAATATATAATTGTCACGGTTGTCCATAATTTTCAGGACTCCTACTATTTCCCTGCTGTATTTGTATTATATTTGTAATAATTATCTAATAGAGAAATAATTTCCTTACGTAAACCATCTCAAAGAATTCATAATTTGGTGCTCTAATCGTGAAAACAACTGGTCGCATAGGTACTGGTTCTTATGAATCTTCACACACCTTTGCAATATTTATAGTTGCACACATATAGTAATGTAAATCTTCATAAACATTTACATACATAAAATTAATTGAACAATATTATACGATATTTCTAGCCAGAGTGCCACAAAGAATATACGTAATATATCATATGTACATGTCCTGACAAAAAATTAACTGGCAAAGACAAAGGACTGGCAAAACTTTCCCAAATTATGGTAAGTCATGCTCACTTTTTATATCGGAGTTCATAGTGAATACTTTCAACACCGAAGCTGTAACGCATTGAATGTTTAGTAAGTTGTCGTTTATAATATTCTATATTTAAAACTTTAAATAAAAATTATAATATATTAGTAATTTACTTTTCTGTAAGTATTTGTCTGGTCAACGAAGGCCCTCAGTGGACTGTCGAGCCATAAGACAAGACAGTAAGTCTTTGTACGGGTACTGTATTCATACCAGACCTCTATTATTTTTGTCTTTTCGTAGGAAAATGTGAACAAGCTTTGCTCATGAACAAAAAACGTGTATGTTGGGTGAAACTTAATCAAGCAGTTTTTAGGCACAGCTTCAAACGAGTGTACATCTCCGAACAACTGAGATCCGTCTCATTCACTAGAGGCCGAGGTTCGGGGTGGGCTGGTTGGAGAATCTGCAACGACAATCACGCACGAAGCTCACGATGGACCGAGCAGTCCCCTGAAGCAGGCGCGGGTCGAGCGTCGAAAACTACGCCGCCGAGGTGGATATGCGCACGGGTTTCTGAGCTCTTCGCAGCTAGCAGAAGGACACAGGCGCGCCCTCTGCGCTCTCAGATTCGTCTGTCTCGCGGGCGGCGAGCAACAGCGCCAGGTCCGGCCGCCGCCCGCGCGCCCCCGCCTCCTGCGCCCAGGTCCGCCGAGCCGCCCCGCCCTGCCGCCCAGCCGCGCCTGTCCGCCCCCTGCGCGCCATGCACTGTGCATGCCAACATCATGATGCCGATCTGCACCCACGAGTGGCCCTGCAGCATGGCAAACACGAAGAGGAACAGCCCGCAAATGAGGAGAAGCATGACGCGGGCGTACAGGCAAAACAAAGTGCTGCTGAACACTTCATTCAACAGGGTGCACATTTCTTGCAAGTGGAAGTGCATTTTCCGGAGAGTTTGCAGTTCGTTTTCGATGTAACGAGAATGACACGCTGGTACTGGTACATTTCCATTAGACTCAACAAGAATGAGCTTTTTTGTAATGTTTTTATGGAAGTTCATGACACCTCCATTTCCATGAGTGTTTTCTTCAACATTCTTCGCTATATTCCATATGCAATCATTTACAATCATGAACTGATATTTTGTAATAATGGCAAAAATTAAAAAAATATGGGCCGTGTATGTTACAAAAAAGTATATCACAACCCATTGCATAACTGATAGGACTTGTATTTCATTGCTTTCAAAATTTATGAGCGTAGCCTGTAATATTGGTACTAAGATAAAGCATGCTTGGGCTGCAAAAATCCAACCTCGTTTTACAATGAGTGGTAAAGGACGTACTACTTTTTGTGTGTTATGCTCCACAATGGCAAGTAGACACAGTAGCCTCTCCCATTTTTTCATTGTTTCAATTTTGAACACTGATACACACCAGAACAAAATTACATTTGCTCCAAAAATTTGCGATACTATTGGCATTATATACCCAATAACGCCAGTTTTTTTAATGTATTCACGGTTCATTCCATTCAAGCAAAAATCGGCACAAATTAGTGACAAGATTAAACACACTACCACTGATGAAACAACAAGAGACATTTTGCAGCGAACAACTCGCAACGGAGGCTTCAGGGAATAAGGTGCTAGGCCCAGCGCTTTTGCTGCGCCTAGAAATGACGCAGTTTCGCGCAGACACATGGGTAGAAGTTGCGATGAATCCATTGCCCGTGTTGATGGTTTCGAATAAACGCAAGCAGGATTGATTGCTGTAAGCCTCTTTTATCTACGAATAATTAGAGCAATTATTATGACCGTTATTATTTTAATGATTATTTATACATTTAAAATAAAGTCATTTTATGTGACGAAAATGTTACGAATTTTTACATACCGTACTTGTGGAAGTACTTGCAATATTATCGCTGTTCCTTTCATACTGGTAGCTCCTTCAGACAATTAATTAAAAATCGATTTTTAAAGAAATGAACATTAATTTACTAATTTCCTACGGTACTTGAATTAAATGTCAACGAGACATTTTGAAGCGATATTAGTCATTATTTCTTTCGAAATTCTTCTTATTACAGGTTTTAAAAATTAAAACCTATGATGCCACTTGTTTGTGTGGTGTTTGTGTGATTTTTGTTCGAATTTTCTTTATGAAGCAATTAATGAAGCTAAAGATTTAGTATTATAGATAATGTCCCACCGAATATGGGCTAATTTCTAAACGGTTAACGATTTTGTAATGGAATTTTCGCTCAACAATCCGGAATCATGAGGCAAGTAATATGCCGTATAGATAGAAATAGTGGAGATATGTAGTAATATGCCGTGTTAGATATGAAGATACTATTGAAATCTGCATCAAAGCGCACAACACCATGAATGAACTTTCAGGATCAGAACGATTAGAAAGCTACAAAATTGTTTCTTTTAAAATGATGTATACACTAGTGAATCAAATAGAATATTGGATTCAAGATTTTGAAAAAATTCATAGTATTGAATTTCTTCACGGAAAGCAGTTTTCCATCTACAAAGATACTTTACCTCAGACATTTTTTATTTCCTAATAAAACAATATCCGTTAGCTTGGACATCAACTGACAATTATGTGGGGTTTCGTGAGATCACATGGTAAAGGTGGCGGCCTGAGACAGTTGGCTGCCTGCGGCCGGTCAAGGTTCAGACGGCGACAAGTGGGCGCGAGAAGGCAGCAGGCAAGCAGAGGGTGTGACCGGCGGCGGGGAGAGAATTTCAGGACGACGCGCGAGCGGACGATGGAGTGGGCCGCCATAGATCTGTATTGTGTGCATGAAATAAAAAGAGACTTAACCAGAGGAACAGATATTATTGAGAGTGGCAGGGGATTGCGGAGGGGAAAAATGTGCTTATATTGTAGCAAGCTAGTAGTTAAATGTTCCATTGTTAAAACGCGTGTGTGTTTCATTTAAAATAAATTTCTTTCCAAGACGCCTTCATACAATTCTATACATTAACAATGGAAAATACATGCCGGCAGATTTATTGCTGAAATTTTTTTGAACAAATTGGTTTAAACAAATATCAAGAGACGGTTCGCTTATTTAACTCAGTTTAACTTTCCATTTCTCTACAGTATTATGTCAAAAGAATTGACTATATGAAAGAGAGTGAAGACATTCCTGAGAAATTCCTAGAGAAATATCAGACTCAGTAATTTTAGTTTCCCTGGCTATCGAGAACTATTTGCTAACTTCATTTTGCAGAAATGACGGTATTCACCCGACGAAACAATACATGAAATCACATTCAAGTTCAGCAGGACTACGTATGGGCGTTCATGTTCAGCAGGATTATTTGACAGTGTATGGGCTGTTCCAGCAGCACTAGAATAACAGGGTCTTAGTTCCAAAATTTCAGCAAAAAAATGTTGCAACATACATATATAGTTTGACGGACATAAAATCACTGAGTCAAATATATGCTTGAGAGAACCAATTGCACTGTGAATATATTTTCCCTTATAAATAGTAACTCTGAAAATGTTTGAAATTGAATTGAAATTTCCTCCGCTGTTTTAAGAGGGCAGTCACCAATTATGAAGGACGTGTTAAAGCAACAAATCTTTAATGCAAACTTTAATCTGTAATGTAATGTGAAGCTGTTTTCTTTCAAACTCTCATTTTTCAGAAACTCACTATAAATTTAAAAAAATGAATTGCCATTTCTCTAGCATTCTTACATACTCGTGAATAAATAGAATGTTATGGGAAAATGTTTTCATATCTGTAAATATTTCCTTGGATTATACTTATTAAGATTCCTGTTAATTTCCAGAATTAACACGCATTTATACGTTTTAATACGGATATTCATTTATTAAATCAGAAAGAATAAAACAAAAAACCTTACATGATATGACATTTAGTTGACATTTTGCATAATTTTACCTGACGCCACTTAAAACAGTATTATGTGAAGATAAATAATTATACTGAAAATAAATCATCCTTATTATTTCTGCATTTAAGCAATGATTCAGTACATGAATAACTTTAAATGCAATGAAAAATTATTTTTAAAATATTATTAATTCCATCTAAAAAATTCCTGTTTTGAATAAATTCAAAAGATTCAGTCGTTCAAATGTTTTTGTAGAATATGCTCACATCCATAAAATTTTATATATAACAATTTAAGATATTTCAAGATAAAAGACAGTGCTGTGGGAACGTTGTTGTAATTATTTCAAAAATTTTTTTGGTTTCAATAAGCCAAGAAGAATCGCTCATGAAATGGTAAGATATAAATATAGTGTTAAGATTGTGACGGAGCAATTTTTTGAAGGCTATCGTCTTACATAGGATATTCCAGAGAAATTCAGTTACACTATGCATGCGCAGATTTTCAGCTCGGGTTCACGCAGCGAGATCGACACGCTTCCAATGCTCGTCAGAGCTATCACCCTAAGTAGGATGGTCCGGAGCAAT